GAGAATGCATGAGTTCAATTATTGCAAGGAGCCTAAAAGCATGACATCCCAATCTTTGTAGAGGATACCATCCGCGTCCCACGCGTGTGGGTCCTTTCACTCTCTACTCATGTTTAGCCATAACTCCACTCTCAAATAAAATTTAGAATTCTAGAGAAAATTTTAAAGATTTACAAATTTACGAATTATAGAGAGAGACTTAAAGATCTGTGGTCTATGAAAATCATCTCATATTGAAAGTGTGGCATCTTGAACGAATACATGCTGTCTAATCGAAACAAAAATCGATTCAACCTGAAAATAACTAGATCAATTTTATCTAAAATCGACTTGACTTAAAAATTAATCTGGTCGAAACTGATTTAAAATTAATTATGTAATAAGATATTGTCGAGGTAAATGACTAAAATGATCATCATATTAGGAGACGTATAACGACAATTTAATACAGTATGTAATAAAGTTTTTGATCGACATATTCATTCTATAATCAACATGATCATATTCGATATGATATGGATTTTTCTCTCCTCATACACTTTATATTTGTTCACATCGGTTAAAAACCATGTTACGAGATCGTGAAGAGGAAATATGTCGCTATACAATAGATTTGGAACAACTGTATATCATGTAATAATAAGTGGCTAATATTGCTACTTAGATTTTGTTTCTACTTGTACAAGTCAGCCGACTTATAACCATCATAATATTCTTACGACACATGTTGTCGTTTCAGTATATATTTTTTTTAACTCGGGTTTGTAACCATGACAACATATATTTTATAGACACATTAAAAACAAATCACAGCAATTTGTATGGATTATTGGTAGCTGTTTTTCAGCTGATAGTCTTTTACAATATAATCTCTTTTTAAAAAATCATATATTTAGATTACAGTGGTATACAGGCCTGATGGTATATATGATATATGTAGATCGATCTTACAACTAACATGCATTATTAACTTCTTCTTTTTTTTTAACTCGACTTTAACCAATCCTCTCAAACTTTATAGAATCGATCTGGTACGTGTAATTCACGAGTTGGAAAAGCTTATTCTATGTTCTTGTAGTGAATATGTGATCGTAATTAACGATAACATGCATAAGGGTATATGAGATCTAAGTCAACACTTATGTTACCAAATATAATCATAGTATGAAAATAATGAGTGCAAATTAACAAACAAGGGTTCCTAGAACAAACCCTAAACCTTGATTCCAGTAAAGGTAAATCGCTGTCTTCTGATTTTTGTATTTAAAGCATATAGAAATAATAATTAAAAGAATTTACATAATTTCACGAGTTTTGATAACCAACCAAATATTATGTTGTAATGACATAATATTATTAAGCGAACCCCTTTATATATAAAGAAAAATTTTGAGAAATATCACTTTTAAAGTGTCACTTTTAAAAAATATCATTTTTTCAAAATCTTTGCAAAAATGCTACGTTTTCAAAATCATTTACTCATATAGTATTTATGTTTGGATAGTTAACTATATTGTATTAGAGTTTAGTTTTGAAGGTTTATGGTTTGTTTGGGGTTAAAACCTTTTTTAGGCTTTAAAATTTTAAGATTTAGGGTTTAAAAATCTTTAATT